AGTAAAGAATTTTTTTTATTGTATATTGCTCTATATTTTATATTGAACAGTGTTCAATAACATTTGTGTCTTTGACAATTTTTATTGTTATAATGTTTTTATATATATATATATATATATTTCTCCACTCAAGCAAGGCAACAAAGCCACAGGGGTTACTGAGTGTGAAAAAAATTTAAGAAGAAACATTATTAAGGAATGAGAACAATAAACATACAGGAGACATGATATCAATTGACATTGCATTTGTGTGTGTATGCTACACTGTATCATTTCATATTTGTTCAGGTTCCTTGCTAGATCCAATCATCAAGGAAAAAAGACTGGAGATTGGCCAAATAAAGCATAAACTCTGGAACAAGAGCACAGAATAAATTATCAATGTCAAGCAAAACCTTATAAAAATAATAAAAACTGGGCAGGCCAACAAACAGTGAGTGTAAATTCAACATGAGTGGGGAAAACAACTACATAAGCAAAATCACAAATGAGATTACTTAATACCAAATTTAAAAAAACAAAACAAAATAGTACAAATGCTTGTGTAATTCTTTTGTGTGAAGGTTAGTTTTGATATTTTTCTATTTTTTTTTTTTTAACTCTTTGAGGCACTTTTTTTTGTACTGTGAACTACACCATCATCTGTTGATTGAACTGGATTACTAAATAAAATGAGAATATAAATTTTGGTGCTACAAGATATATGAAGATAAAAAGGAAGGGGAGAATTAAAAATGCCCCCCAACCATCATGCAGATAGTAACACTTTAAAAATGGGATGAAATGTAATATATATATATATATATATATATATATATATATGCTTCAAAGAGTTAAAAAAAAGAGGAATTATCAAATAGATTTGAAAACAGTGGCGCTCAATAAAAATTCATGTGTCTGTCAAGTGGAGTGGTGGGGTGGTAGTCAGGGAGAGTCAGAGTGGTCATTTATATTACTAACTTATTTCATAGTTATAGCTGCTTGCAGCTCTTCATCCGAGGTAAAACTGTTGGTCCACACAGAATGATACCAATGAATGACCAACTAAAATGTCTGGGAATTGACAGGTTTTTTTTTTTTTTTTTTTAAATTCTATTTTTTTTTTTTTTTTTTAAAGTTTTCCAATCACAAACCCACTTCAGAGCATAATGAGAAAAAGTCTGAGAAACAAGAAATATTAGCTTCTTGTCTATTTCTCTGACTATCTCAACATACAATTAAAGCTGATACAACAAAGCCAATTCTTCACTAAACAAAACACTTGTCTGCATGTATGCAAATGATATTTTTAATGTGCATATTTATGAATACATGTATTTCATTTTTGTCTGTGTGTAGAGTATATATGTCTCCCAGAGAGCAATTGTGAGTATATTTGTCTCTAAGACTATTTAGTTGCTCATTTTGCAAGTTTGATCTTTACTAGTTACTCCAATTTGAGACTGTTTCAAAGTTGACAATTATAAGCACACAATTGCAATTTTAAAAAGAGCATGAATTGATGTAGATGAATAGACAAATGTGTATACATCTATAAATTCATAATTATTGAGTTGCCTGTAAAATAATATATATATATATATATATATATATAAGACTTTGAATGAACATATGTATTTGTCAATGAACTACTTTCAAGTTTATCAATGTTAGTGTGCATATTTATTTGTGTGTATGTATATATAAAGAAATGACAAGAAGAAATGTATACACACAGACACAAAAGGGTATATTGAAAAACTCTCATCCCAACCTATTTCCCAAGACCAATATTTCAATTACTAAATATTACAATATTGATTTAGGATAATGGGTGAAGCCAAAATATTTTCAGTACTGTTATATATATATATATATATATATCTATATATATATATATATGTGTGTGTGTGTGTATGAACAGCTTATCAATTTAAACATGAATGTGTATGTATATTATATACACACATGAATTATTTATGAGTTTGTTATTGTAGTAATGAATTTGTGTGAGTCTATATGTGTTTGTCATGAGTTTGAGTGAATGTGCCTGTTTCTTAATGTTTATATACTTATGTGTATGTCTATATATGTATGTATTTGCACACATGTATGCATGATGTATGTGTTTGTAAGAGAGAACATGAAGTGATATAAAAAAAAATTATTTAGTGAATGATTTTAAATCTTGTCTTTAAAAAATGTATCAAGTACATATATTCTTATTCTGCTGTTTCTTTGTCTTCTTTTTTTCCATCCAATGAAAATTTTAAAAATAAATAAGTTAAGAAAAAAAATTAATATTTTTCCAAAAATTTTAAATTTAAGATCACTTTTTTTCTTTCATTTTTTTCTTTTTAAGGGAAGGAAGGTCTTTTTTTTTTTTCTTTTAAGGTAATGTTATGGAGAACTGGAAAAATAGATACACAATTTTTTTTAAATATTTAAAAAATTAAGGAAAAAAGAAAAGAATTTTTTTTTCCATTTTTTTTTTTAAACCAGAATTTAAAAAAAAAACAAAAAAAAAAGTTAAATTTAAACTGTCAACATAATTTTTCTGCTGTTAATGTTCAATCTCATAATCCTTCTCACAAAATGTACAGAAAAAAAAAGTCCAAAGAAAAAAAAAAAAAATGACACTGACAAAATCTACATTGCCAGGAAACCAACCCCTAAATTATTTCAGCCAATCTATTCTTTTCTTCATCACAGTCATCCTCATTAAATAGCAGTATTGAAACAGTAGGTAATGTATGAGTGTTATATACAATAGGTACCATGGTACAAACTACACCATAGAAGAGCTACGTAGGTACCTATGTATGCATTGGAGCATATACTCATTTAGTCTATACTGGTTGGCAGGTGTAGCTGTACTGGTGATGCTGTTCATTCTCACAGACCAAAATATTTTTTTTTCAATCACAGATTTTTTTTTTCAAATTTTATTCTTTTTTTGCATTCACATTTATAAGTTATTTTGAAGCAATATATTGTCAGCCATTTTTACAGATGAGGAACAGATTGCACAAAAACATCTTTGTAAGTCTTTTGTATATGTATCTGTGTGTATATGTTTAACCTGTACCTATTTATGCCAGCAATCTTTTCCATGTTTAGAGAGAAATAGAAATAGAGAGAGAGTGTGTGTGTGTGTGTGTGTGTGTGTGTGTGTGTGTGTGTGTGTGTGTAGATGTGTGTGCATGTATAATTTAATAATTTGAGAAAAATAAAATAAAAATGGAATTCTGAGTTCTCATGAATATATTTTTCTTCCTAAATAATTTTTTTGGTATAGTTTAAGTACACATGGGACCTAAATGTAGGTGAATGTGAGAGGACTAATTATTTTCAAAATGTATTTCTATTCAGTCACAATGTGACATTGATTAGAATTTTTTTTTTTTTTTTTTTTTTTAATTTATTTCTTGAAGTCCTTGACTTTGGAAGCACATATGTTTGTTTTGTCCAGTTCCAGCAGTTGTTGTTGTTGTTGTTATTATCATTGTCACATTTAGGGAGCACCTGGTCATAAGATACTAACAGTACTCATTTATTACAAGATATTGTAATACTATCTTGAAAATTTGTCTTCCCACATGATCCAAAATTCATGACATAAGTGTTCGGGAAGGGAAAAAAATACTCAAGGTCTATAAATAGATTGTATGTTAAAATGATTTTTTTTTTAATTAAATTAAAAATGCTGTCAAAACAAACAAAATAAAAATAAAAAACATCAGGTGTTTAAAAAAAATAACGCTGAATAAAATTTAAAAAATGCAAATCAAGTTTTTATATCGTCTTATGTATACCAGTTTGTCAACATAAAAAAAAACGTATTGCATGAGTACATCTGTGAGTGCATACACATACACACACAAAATGTATGAATGCATGTGTATGGATACACACGTGTGTGTGTGTGTGTGCATATATATATATATATATATATATATATATATGCTAACACATGCATATATGTGGCAAAAAAGGGTGTGCAGCAAGTGGTGGCGGAGGAGATGAACACATACCCCCATTGTTCATTACAATGGATCACAGTGTTTCCTTCAAATGGGAAGCTAGAGTGCAAAAGAACTGCACAGTAATTGGCAATATATTCCTGAAAAAAAAAAAAAAAATCTCAGTTGCACTCAAAGAAAATTGAAAAAAATAAAAGACAGACAAGCAGACCTAGAAATGCCTGGTTATTCAATTTTGATGGCACAGCAGTACGAAAGACCTTAAGTACTATTGGCTGGTAATGCCAAAAAAATATATCAGTGTCCAGAAGCAACACATCCACAATGAGGTTTAGAATCCGTGGAATGTGACTGGATTCTAACCAATTTGTTTTTTTGGATCATGAAGACGAGCGCAACATAGCAACAACAAACTTGGCATCAATTCACTCACTGTCATGAGTCTCTCCTTTGGAGCAATCATCAACTTTTGAAGAAGTGGAATTTCACCAAAGCTAAAGTTAGCCTCTTGCAGTGGAACTTCGAACCTAAATAATGTGCCTTAGACTTTTAACAGTGCAAAGGAAGAATGGTGGTAAATAGACAAAGTCAAGCTTGAATAGTCTTTTGGAAGAATTTTTTTTTCTTTTACTTTCCCTCCCCATTCCCCACTTCTTCATCTTTTTTTTTTTTTGTCCTCATCTGTTAACAGAAGATGTTAACAAAAGCAAGAACAGATGGCAGTGCTGCTGCAAAATGTACCAGCCACACAGGTGTTCAAACCCTACTTGGGGGTGTGTTTTCAAATCCACAGTGGTCCATAAATCTAGTATCTTTCCTGTATTTACCATAGAGTTGCTGTTACTGGTGTAACTGGTCTCTACTAGTCCCCAACGTAAGTCAGTGATGGTTCCAAATGAGTCTCGGAACTAGTCCTTTCCCAAAAGAACTGGCTCTCTGACTCACCAAGATTGTCTAAGAGATAAAAATCACATTTCTGGTTTTTATGCTGGTGAGTATGAATTAACCAACTATATTTCATGACAATTCCCGATAGCTTCAACTTGAACTTGTGCTGGGGTCAGTCAGCTTGTCCCAGTCCATCCCACATTGGGAGTCTGATGAAGCTGTGAAATCAGTATCATCAAAGCTGAACATGTCAAGAACATCCTGCTGTGTTTTGGGGGTCAGGATAGGGTCAGATGATGTAAACGAAATGGGAGTGTTGAGAGATGCCGGAGCAAAGCCCGTGCTCGGTATAACAACATCCAACCAGTCAGACACATCAATTTGCATGTTGCAAGAGCTGTCTGTGTCATGCGGCAAATCAAGGGTCACCCCCAGGTCTGTCGAGGAACCAGGGTTGCTGGCGTCTGTTTTGGTGATAATTGGCAGTGTTGATGTCCCAATCTTATGGTCAGTGAAAGAGTCAGGTAGTTCAAGATTGGTGAAGCCACCCTCAGACGTCCAGTCCATGCTATTGAAATCATGGTTGAGCACCTCATTGATATCAACAAACTCTCGATTGGTGTCGCAAGATATTGAAGAAGAGGGTGGTGAAGCATCTGGTTCTTGTTTTACCAAGACGGGCGTAGGTGCCGGTACAATTGTTGATACAACAGGCCGTTGGTTTACTAAGGACGAGGATGTGGAATTGGTAGTTAATGATGGAGATGGCATGAGCACAGTGGCTAGTGAGAATGGTGTATTGCTGGATGTGGCAGCAGCTGTTTGAGTTACTGACACTGTTGGAATTGTTGATGTCTGGGCTGTGGTTTTAGGAGTTGGGGGAGGCTCTTGAGCAGCACTTGGAGGTAATTCTAATAAAAGAAAAAAATAGATAAGGAATATAAATAAAGAGATCTTAAAAAAAAATAAGAAGCATAATTAAGTACTAAAGAGCAAAAAACTTTTAACATATACTCATTAAGCATGGTTTGGTTTGGTCACAAGGCCACAAATCTAGAGGTTTGAAATGCCAATTACTTGAAGAAGGCCATAGTGTACAACAGCCAAAATGTTGTAAATATGGCAACAAAGATGAGGATAACAGTTCAAACTTTGTAAATAAGGTCAATCTAGAGGACATTGTAAGGAATGAAGTTATGACAACTAAAACCAAAATGTTGTAAAACAAGCTTGCTAATCATTATGCCAAAAAGAAACTCACACATAAAAAACAAAACAACCACCAATCTTATTTTAGATATAATTAAAAGCATTTTTATTTTAAAGATAATAGTGGTATAAAAGCATATTTTTGTTTTTATGATGAAGATGGCATACCAGAAAAGAAACTGGAAACAACAAAGTTCAAATTTCAGCTAAGATTACTGATGTTAACTTTTGTAATATTATCATTGTATAGATAAATAAGAACATGAGATTAAATCACTCATATGTAAAATTATTGTTTACTAGAAAGACCTGTGAAAATTTCATGGTTTTCCTATTTTAATTTTCTTGTGAATCTTAATTCTTAAGTTAATGATTGATTAAACTCATAATGAGTTCTATGACGATAAATTATATGTAGAAATTCCTCTATCACATTGTTAAATATTTGAACTTAACAATCAAATATGAATGTTCGTTTTATTTTAAGTGGGTACAAATGAAAAGATTTTAAATTGACAACTTTTTAATTTCACTGAAACAGCCACTGGACACTTCAATCTTGCCTTCTTTCTTTTTGCATTCATTTTCTCACTGAAACTAAATAGCATATGTCTTGTCTTTCTATGCAATCAAAACAGGATAATCCATTATTTATGAGGTATTGGCAGATTTTAAACATTTCTATCTTCCCTTCTTGCTTTCTTTCTAACCAAATTCCCAGGTTACGAATATGTCTCTTAATGATAATTTAAAAATAATTCAGAAGACGATGTTATTTATTGTAACTGGATTTTTGGCAATTGCCTTACTTGGTTTCCATCGTTCTTAGCTTAATCTGATACTTTCTCTTCACTTTTATTTTCTTTCTTTTTTCTTTCATTTTCCCATTTAAAACCAAATAGTGTCTTTTTCCCCTCTTTCCTCATGATCAAAATGGAATATTCCATTATTTTTTAGGTAATGGTAGGGGTAACAGTTATGTAAACTAAGCATAATTATAAAAGAATTCAACTGCAAACTTTGTCAATTAATATTGGTGAGTGTATGACCGTGAGGGTTTTTCTCCAAATGTGGATTCTTCATCTTTCCTCTTATGAGGTGCTTTTATATATATGTATATCCCTAACATGTGGCAGTCGTACATGTGCACATCCTAAGTGCAGTTAAGTCTGCAAATATGCACTTGTTGGCTTGGTCAATTTCCAGGTCAACCTACTTCTCTGATGCTCTAGTATAACACTGATTGCAAAGTCTATTTTGGTATCAACTAGGATGAACCCAGTACATATTTGGGTCATCACAGATCAACTCCTCTAAGAACAAAATTTCTTTATTGACATTGTATTCGATTCAGATTATCTGGTACTTTCTGATACAAATCATATATTTCACTTTGTACAAATGCCTTTTAGCAAAAGGCATAAAACCACTGTTATCTGCACTCTGTTACATCAGCAGATATCTGGCCATAATATTTTATCACTTGCATGTCATAATGCGTGATGTAGAAAACATTGGTGAGTGAGCAATTGGACAAACCACTCTCCACTAACTACATATTACATGTCCAAAAGGTGGAAACAAAATTGTGACAAAAGGTGTAATTGATTACAAGGAAATCCTTTCTAAGAAAAAAAAAAAAAAATGAAAACCTCACTTTGCTCATTCAAATATTCATTTAATCAATTCCAATTAATACTCCACCTCAGTCTTTTGAACAGGACTAGAAGTGTATCCTTTGTTTCCTGTTTAAGATTGGGTTTCCGGTTCATTCTAAAATCTTTCATTCTCTGTCACTGCCAGTAGCACCTTGCATCTTAGTGGCATTATAACTTTGCTTGGTGTGAATAGATTAAAAAAAAAATCCTATCTGATGGCACCTAAGACACACCCCTACCCAACCAAACATTTAAATTTAATATTGCAGTATTAGGCTAGGTATAAATAATAGTAGTATACATCTATTTGGGTAAAAATTATCCTATCTGACACAATACTTCAACTTTGCATATAAAACTCAAGTGATATTTTTAAGGTATTTATTTGGGAAGAAATGACAGATTTTAGATACCATCAAATAAAATAATTTGTACTTGAGGGAATTTTAATCATAAAATCTCTGTAATTATTGCCAATTACCTACCACAGCTATATTACTCCAATATGAAATACATTTTTATATCTGAATTTTTCTTATCTAAAAAATATCCTGTTTTTGCAATTATTATCTCAAATTATTTCTAAAATAATCTTAAGACATTAATAACAAATAAATTAAGGTAAATAAATATTAAGACAAAATAAAAGATAAAAACAATGGAAAAAATGTTTAAATTAAAAAAACTATTAAGATAAACAATTAAAAAAAAATAGAAACAACTACAAATAAAAATTGCTCCGGTAAATATCAATATTATTTGTTTTAAAATATTTGGAACATACAATTAATCAACAGTTATAGATATAACTAAGCAAAGTGAATTCTGCCATCATCCTTAATATCAGAGAAGTAGATTGAAAAAAAAGTAATGACAAACCTCCATTTCTTATAAGGATCTCAAGTACATCATCCATGGCTTGGCTTTTGGTTGATATTGAGAAAGCTGCAGTGTTTATAGGATTCTCACTTGATACAGTAGTTGGAGATGCAGATGATGGTAAAGTATTGTTTCCTCCATCTTGCATAGTCACAAACAGTGGACCCTAAAGGAGAAGATAATTTAGACCAATTCAGACGTGGAAAAAAAAGAAAAAGAAAAGAACCAATGATGTAAGATTAACCAAGTCAGTCAGAAAAAAATCTGAAAGAACCAGTGACGTAAAATAATAAGAAGCAGTTGTAAGGCATACAGTTTTATTCACAGATATTAGAAGCCTATGATGAAAGCATTAACAGCTGACCTTAGGCAATGCATCAAATATGTGGTAAGATTAACTGCTGGCAATAAACAGATGTCAGAAATCTGATATAAACAACAAAATTGCAATTATTGGTATTTAAGTCAAAATTAAAAGGAAATGGGCATAGGAAGATTGTGTTGTGCCAAGTGAGATGGACCAGTTTGCCTTGAAAATCAGCATATAAAATTTTGGCATTTGACATTGGTTCAAACTTTGACACAGGTTAGAAATAAAGAACACTCTCAATCATCAAGTATCCTTATACTCATTTATTGAGCTAAATTAAATATGGTCTAAAGTAAGGTGAAGGCAAATGGAAAAGAATGGGAAGGTTGTTTTACAATGACATCTAACGTGAGAATAGCATACAGGCCTTCAAAATCAGCATTCAAAATCCAAGTTTAATTTAGGCTCAAACACAGATCTCCTGTACTCATGGTAAATACTTAATTATGCCAACCATACAGGTGATTGCAGAGGACCAACAAGAATAACCCAATAATGAGGACATTGTTGATATATTGAATATTTAATATCCCGTAATTTGATGAGGGAGAGAGACATCAGCAAACACACATGTGTATACATCTCTCAGAAGAACAGAAGTCAAATGAAGTGACAAGATTAAGTTTATTAGGGACATGTTTTGTTCTGAGAAGGAACTTCAGGTAAACCTATTGATGAAATAAATCTTATTTGAAAAGGAGAAATGCAACAAATGCTGGTTACAGTTTACATTTAAGCATTTTGTGTATTTTTGATTAGGTTTCACTTTATTTTATTTTTTTAAATAGTTGTGACTAATTTTATACTTTTTTATAAATAAATTCTCATTTATAGTTTTATTTTCTTCTTGATTTTTGTAGATTTTGTAGTTTCTCTTCTTTAAGCTATATATGAAATAATTAGACTATAAGGTAAGTTTAAAAGCATTTTAAATGAAATTTTCTTTATTTAAATATTGAAGGTTACAAATTCTGTGCTGTTAAATAGAAATGTATAATTATTCCAGATTTTATTATGCATTTTGATACAATATCATTTTTGCTAGTTGATTTTTGATAAACTCTTAATTTTAGATCATTAGAAATAGTGATGTATAGCTGGTTTCCGTTTCATGAATAAATTGTATATTTAATATTGTTTACTTTATTTACAAGATCAGGTAATATTGATTTATGGGGATATATTAATAAAGCATCATCAATATATTCAAAATATGCTGATTCTTTAGGTAAAATATTTTGGAAACATAGGGTGCGATGGTTAAATTGTTGCCATTTTATATCCTTAATTTTGCGCATTGTTTTTAATTTTGTCGACTGCACAGTATAGTGGGGTAAGTTGAACACCATCTGAGAGAAAATCACCATGACACAGTTCACTCTGCAAGAAATTTGGAAATGGCATGCTGTACTGCTTTGCATTCATGCCAGAAGCTCCAATATGAACATTTCAGAGTGGGTATCAATCTGAGGACAGTGCAGAGGATTCAGAAAGAGTTGGATGACCCTAATGGTGATTACAAAAGTGTTTGGAGTGATCACTAATCATGGCGATATTATGCCTCCATTCAACTTCCCACAGGGCCTCAGACTCAACATGGAGGCCTACATGTAGTGCCTTAAGAAGGTAGTGTTGCTCTGGATCAAAAGAGTGGCTACTGGAAGACCCTATGTCTGACAACAGGACTCTGCACCATGCCATACAAGGAAGAGAACAGAGTCATGGCTGTCAGACAATTTCTGTGACCACATCACCCCTTACACCTGGCCACCTAACTCCCCCTTGATTATGTGTGGGGCACAGTTGAGCAAGATATCAACAAAACTCCTTATAGCACCAAAGATGAACAGAAGTAGGGTAGTGGAATTTAACAAAATTGTGATGCTCTAATTTTCCTGCTTACCTGCCTTGAAGCTGTTAGAAGGGAGATGGGTGAGAGCACAATTAGATAGGCCACTTAAAATTCTATTAACAGAAATACTAAAGAATGTATGAGAAAATGAAATACCCCAAGGGGAAGTAACTTCATACCAGTGATTAAAAAAATACTATCTATTGGTTAAAGGATGCAAATTAAAGATATTTAATACACACAAGGGAATACATTTGACAAAGTGTTTTATTCATATAAATATATACCAACAGTTAGTTTCTGATTTTCTGAGATTAAATTATCATTATTTACATTTACAGTTACTAATGTATGTATCAAATATTTCAGTCATTGCTATGCTACCAAATTCATAAACCAATGAAATTTCCTGAAGGTAAACTGGATTGAAAGACACAAGAAGACCAAAAAGCACAATAGTCAAAACTTTGTAATAATAATAATGACAAAGATGACAACATTAGTCTGAATGTAAACAATGAAGGAGATAGGTATGTGAAAGAATTTCCCATCACCATGATCATTTGCAGCAGGATAATGATCATTGTGATGAAGCAAGATCAATGATTGATTTCAATACTCAGGAGAAGGTCTTTCCTTTTCAAGTGCATTATTCACATAAACCAATTCTTCACTATAGCATTGTAGTTTGTCTCCACGTTTCAGAAATTCATAATAAAAAAATCCCTTTGGATTCTATAAAGCATATACAATGTTTTACCCTTCAGTAGATTCCAATTAGGTAGAGATGTTAGAGGCTCTTCAGCTATAGCAACTATTATCTCTTCAGTTCACATTCTCATAGCTATTTTCTATCAGTAAAAAGATCTCTTCTGTGAATAGAAGAGGAGAAGAACAAAGGTTTTAAATGCTGGTCAAGTTTCTTAGATACTATGTAAAAGCTGATACTGTAAATGTTTTCATGAAAATAATAATTCTAAAGATAATGAATCATTTCCACAAAAAATTATTACAATAATTACAAATACATCAAATTTAGGTTTGTGAACAACTGATGGATTTCCATCAAGTATCATGTTAGTAGATATGGTTGTTTAAAACAGGATTTGTATTTGTTACAGCAAGAAATATTACAGTTGTTCATAGACACCAGTGTATACATTTGAAAGTATATGAAAATAGATGAATTACTGTGTTAAGAGTACATATAGATTTGGAATGTGTGGAGCTTACATAAAGATGAAAAAGAAACAGTTATCTTTGAAAGTGTGACAATAAAAATAATTAAATTGCAAAAGAAATTCAAACAATATCTAAAAACTAAGAAGAAACTTATAAAAAAAGGTTAAATTGTAAACACTGGTAGTCTTGTTTTTATGAATCATTTCTGAAAAAAAAAAAAGGGAAGAGCTTCTACCGAGATGCACACAGAAGACAAACAACGATGTACTGACCTGTGTAATTTGGTGCTTATTCTTGACAGCCTCATCATATTTTGGAGGCTCTCGTAGTGGGATGGAGAAAAATGCTGTCGTTGAGTTAGAGCTGTCAATGCTAACCGCTGGCTGTGTTCCCAATGCTGAAGTGACCTGGGTGCTCTCACTCAGAGATACCACAGGAAGAGGGCTAGAATTCAGAGAAGCAAGAGTCATACTGGAAAAAAAAAAAAGAAAAAATTTACATGTTTAGTATTAAAATAAAAAATTAAGTAGAAAATTTAAAGAAAATTTACTTTTAAATTTCCATTAGACATAAAAGTATTTCACTTAATAATGTCATCTAATTTTTTTCTACTTCTCAATTGTGAGCATAAATTTGTTGTATCCAATAAAGATTGTGCCTTGCAGTAGAGCAAGAGTTAACAAGCTAGTCTTATAAGCCATTACTACTGTAGTGAGAACTATCTTCACAGTGTGCTCCAGAAATGCAACCTAGATCACCGCTATAAGGACTACAATACAATCCTGGGTGCACCATATATGCGGCCTTGAGCCAGACTAATGAAGCTTACTAAATACCAATAGTAATAATAAAACTTCAGGATAATAAAAACAACTAAGCTTAAATTTCTGACAGTGGTTATTTGTATATATCTTATATTTTTAACTTAAATACTTTCAGGTTTATAAATGGAAAGTTGGAAACCAATTTATAAGACAAGATTGCTTTCATAAGCAACTCTAGCCTGAATTTGGTTTTAGACTTGTTATACAAGAATTGATCAGAAATAGAAACAGTTTAGATGAACATTAGTTTATTGAAATAATCAGTTCACATTATTATTATTATCATTTCAATTTCACAGACAATATATTTAATGCGTTTGATCCTAGTGAGATATGCATATTCCAAGAAAATATCTGTTGATAATACAATTTTTGTAATAATATCTGCCATAAGTGACATTATAATACCAACATGTAGGTAACATTTCAGCTGCCTACTGACTTCTGTTCTGTCATGGCTTGACTTTTTTCATTTTCCTGAATTAAGGAAAGATTTCTGGCAGTAGGACAAAAATCATTGCAGATCAAAATCTAAATTTTGCAATTTTCAACCTAAAATTTACTTTAGTAAATTTCAGTACACCATCTATATGGCAATGATGAAGCCAGAAACTGAGGGAAATATTATGGACAGAATAAGATTAGCACTATATATATATATATATATATATATATATATATATATATATATATAAAAGAGAAAAGGAAAACATAGCTGACACATTTTGTCTTCTGAGGGACTTTATCAAGGTAAATGAGAGGATTTTATTTTGTAACAATTATTTATAGAGCAAAAATGTTATTGGTTTTCCAAAATGCTTAAGTTTCATCAATATTCATCAGGTTAGCTGAAAAGTTAGACAAGTTATAGAAGACATGAAGTGACACAATCTAATGTCTAATAAATGAAAGTGTGCAAGTGGTATTTTTTTTTTACCATACACACACACACACATATATATATATACACACACACACAATTAGGAAAAATCCAGATGCAATGCACTTACCTGGGTTTCCACCTTGGTCTTGTCATGGCAGTTACTTGTGGATAGATTAATCAGCCACAAGTAACTGCCCTGATGAGACCATAAGGTCGAAACCTGGGTAGTGTATTGTGCGTGGATTTTTACCAGCTCGACAAATTCAATTTTTCTGAATTGTCTATTGAACATTTTTTTAAAAATATCCAAGCATTGGCCTGACTCTAGTCTTGTCTACTATTTTTCTTTTTAGTATTTTTATATATATATATATATATATATATATAAAAACACACAGACACACCGTGCATGTGCCATCAGGAATTACTCAGGGTACGCAACTTATGACCTTTATGTGTGTGTGTGAATTCTTAGGAATTCCATCATCATCAATACAACGTTTAAAATATTTATGGCAAAAAGAATTTTAATAATTTTAATAATTTAAAAAAAAAAAAAAAAAAAAAAAATCAAACAAGTGGTAAAAGAATACTATATCAAGGACACATCTTCACATTTTTTTTGTTTGGTGGGAGGGGGTCTTCCAAAACAAATCATCCCACTTACCCTGAACTACAGATCAAACTGTTAGGAGAGGGAGACCCTTCCCTTGAGTTAGCCTGTGATACACTGAGGATAAAAGGAGTGACTGACTGTGAAGAGCTCAGAGCCAGCTTAGTTAGATCAACTGCATGACCAGGGCTTTTCTGTTGTTGTTGTTGTTGTTGCTGCTGTTGCTGTTGTTGTGATGGTTGTGGTTGCTGCTGTTTGTTGAACAATTCATTAAAATTAGGTTTGATATCAGGACCCGTGGTTGACGTGGTTACTATCATAGTAGGCAGACTCTGGGTTGGTTGCACACTGTGTGTGGAGGCCTGAATAAGGTGAGCTGAGATCGGAATTGGAGTGAGAGCAATGGAGCTGAGGGATTGCTGCACTTGTAGAGATGGGGTTTGTGGGAGTGGTGGCGGTAAAGGGACTTTGGAATCAGCAGCAAGATTCATCAGTATATGTGGTGGGGACTGAGCAGTGAGGACTTGGTGTGACGGTGACTGCGGGTTGATTATCTGTGGAGGTGACTGCACGTTGAGGATCTGCTGTGGAGACTGCACATTGAGGATCTGCTGTGGTGAGTGCATGTTCATCATCTGTGGTGAATGGACAGTCATCACATGAGGGGGTGAGTGCATAGTCATGACTTGTGGCGGAGAATGCACTGTCATTACTTGGGCCGGTGATTGCACATTCATCACCTGTGCAGGAGACTGTACACTCATCACCTGTGGTGGAGACTGTGGCTGTTGCTTGATAAGGTTTTGTTGCTGAGTTTGTTGTTGCTGTTGTGGTGGTTGCTGCTGTTGCAGCTGAATCTTAAGCTGCTGTTGCTGCAATTGCAAATGCAGTTGCAACTGAGATTCCTGCAACTGTCGCTGCAGTTCTTCAATCTTTTTCTGTTGTTGCTTGACTAATTCTTCTTGACCCATTACACCCCGTTGCTGAGTTGTCACTTGGGGTTGCATATGCTGCTGAGGAGAGACTTTTGGTACTGATGATAAACTTTGACCAAAATCGTTTTGGGAATTCCCATGATCAATGTCCATTGGGGCATTTTCCCCAGGTGCCACTGATGGAGGTCGTGAGATTTGGTCAACTGTTATTGGAACATTGCTCAAGGCATTGTTCAGGTGGTTTTTGTGCATCAAGAAATTGGTGCTTAAGTCCAGCTTGTCAATGGACATGTTAGACAAAGTCTGATTTGAAGTTTCCTTGCTGTTGGGAGAGTTTGGCGGCGATACATTTGTAAGCATAGATTCTTCGGCTGTATAGACCACAGCCTGAACTGTTGGTTGGGAAATGTTGCTGTTGTTATCAAGAATACTGCTGGGGATCTGACTGGTAGGGGTGGGGGTGGTGGGAGTAGAAATCGAAGGGGAGGAGGAGGTGGTGGTGTTATTTGATTTTGTTTCTATGAAGTTTCTGAGCCGTTCAATCAACTGAGGTTTGGACCCAGAAACAGTCAAGTTCCTCTTCTTAAGTTCAGCTCTTAAATCAGCAACTTTCATCTCTTCCAAGTTAGAAAGAGGTTTCAGTAGAGTAGGATTATTAGCATTTACAACATGTTGCTGTTGCTGTTGCTGTTGTTGAAGCTGATGGTGGGCAGGAGAAGGACAGGGCGAAGGGTGAGAGATTTGGTTCTGATGGATTTGTGTTTGTGGAATCATGGTTATGTGATGATGGTGGTGTTGTTGCTGCTGCAGCTGTGAAAGTGGTGGTGGAGGGGGCGGTGGTGGTGGGGGTGGTGGAGGTGGTGTCTGTTGAGGCTGGTGCTGGTGTTTTGCGGCACAGACGGCGAAGGAGACTGCCGCATTGCCGGCTGAGATAAGGTGGTTGTGGCCACCGGTGATGGTGTTGATGCAGAAACTGTCACCATCATGCTGCCAGGAGAATTCACATGTTGGTTCTCCCCAACTTTGGGTACTGTTGCCACTGCTGCTGCTGCTGCTGCAGCAGTTGAGCTGGCCAACAAATTCTTTTGCTGGAATTCCAACTGCCACTGGAGAAAGAGCTGTTGCTGCTGCAGTAGGATGTGATACGGCGTTTCAGAATTATTAGCAAGATTCTGAGCAGCATTCTGGATATTTTTAACAATGTTTGGTGGACCCTTGTATTCATGGAATTTGATAACCTTTGCCTTTGGCTGGGTTTTTGGTTTTGGCTTTTTTGGCCGGGATTTATGTTGATTAGAGCTACTGGAATTTCCATTTCTGGAATTTGAAGAATGTGTGCTAGATGTCGTTTGCCGATTCCCCACAATTGAGTGGCCTGATGGAACAGCGTAGGGCTGCCCTGGTGGGATGGTAACAGTTGTCTTGGATACTGGAGTACTCGGCCCCTGGTTTGCAACCCGTGTGATCAGTGAGCCAAAATCTATGGTGCTGGCAATGCTGGACCCAGGGCTGCCAATATCTGACAGGTTAGAGTCCTCCTCCTGGGTAGGAGAAAGAGCTTCATCACTGTTGCTCTCCTCTTCACAGGTAAACTGCTGCTTTACTCTATGATCAAGCTCTTCGCCATCACTTGTTCGCTGGAATTTGATCAGACCTTCTGTAAAAATTCAAAGAAAAAAGAAAAAAAAAAAAAAAGAAAAAAGTAAAGAATGAAAAGGAATGCTTAGATTTGATTTTTTTGGCACCAATCCAAAAAGCTTTCTATGAAGAATGGTTATTTAAGAAAAGAGACATTGTCAGCATTTAAAGGTTTTGGTTGTTCCCTTCTAATATTATCCACATCTTTGTTTCCTATTATATCAGTGTTTTCTAGTCACCAAATATTATGGTGCATATTGTTTACCTGAACAAATTTATGTAAAACTGTAGTTAATTCAAGAAATTAAAGACTTTCAGAGTCTATAATTACAATCAATTCATTTTTTTCTGTGAATTTCTGCAATTAGTAGTTATCTGTAATTACATTATTTACCTGCAGACAGTTGTCCTCTTTTTTTTCTTTTTGTTATCACCACATTTTGGCTATTGTGCCCTCCAACCTTCATCAGGTGCATATTGATCCAGGTAACCTACAGGGAATTCTTAACTGTAACCTTTATTTAATCCTTGGTAGGGTAGACTGGTTTTCTTTTTTCACAGTCCATGTCTAGGGATATCTCATCTAGTTCTTTATTTAGTACAGCTCAGTGGAAACACTGCAAGCAATAAGTGAGCCATACTAAATAAGGAACTAGTCAAGATGTCCCTAGACATAGACTGTGAAACAAAAACAACCTCGTCCCATAGATTAAATAAAGGGTCCAATTTGAAATCCCCTGTGGGTTACCCGCTGATGAAGACTGGAGGACATAACTGCCAAAATGTGATAACAAGAACAAAGATGAATATAATAGTCTGCAGGTAATAATAATTCATTTTTATATACTAAAGCCTATCATACAAGAAATATCAGGTTGTCTACAAATTAAAATCATGTTTTCAGATGTTTCCATGTTAGAAAAATCAAATTTGTCAAAAACAATTTTCATTATTAGCAATGACAAAACCTCAACATGAAATGGTTTTATTCTTTGATAAAATTTTTTTTGAATCTTCTGAATATAGGAGAAATTAATTTCTTCTTTACTTATAAAGGTTTTTTTTTTAAATAGAGAAAGTGTTCCAGAAATTTGATAGACATATTAAGGTGCTAGCTGTTTGAATTAAGAGGATACATCAAAATATTTGAATTCAACAATCTGATCTTTCCTTAAATTTATTTGTGGTCATGCAAAACTACAAATAAATTTAGGGAAAGATCAAATTGTTGAATTCAAATTTGGACATGTAAATCTTCATTGGCAACCCTTGAATTAAAGTCTATAGAGCTGGAAATGTTGAACCCAGCAGTGCCAATGATTGTACAATTAAGATTTTTCTTATTGGGTGAGAAATTTGATTATATTTTCTTGAAGAATTACACTTTCTGCTGACCAATGAGAGAGATTATCAACAGAAATGTGCTTCTCTTTACTCATTCAAGTTGTTGATAATAAATATCTGACTTACTCTACAAGTTCACAATAGATAAAATTTAGTATATATATCACCAACTGCTCTATAACTCTATGGAAATGAAGGTTTGGTTTAGATGTTGGTAATTGATTTTCATCCAGAATCCCAATATAAAACAATTTTCAATCAGGTATTTTTTTTTATTGCTAATAATAATTATATTCTTGACAAATTTAACTTTTGTCATATCTGAATAAGTCTTTATTCTATTTCCAAAAATATTACATAAGTATCCAAACAAACACATATAAACAACATTCTAATAAAATTCTGAATGGCGAGACCAGTAATTACTCTCTACTAATGTTGCCAAATATTTTAACAGCATCCCTGAACACTGAATTTTGCAGAGCTGGCAAATGTTAAGGTGGAAACAATTTCAGTATGTCTTCATTTAGTTCTATCTAAGAAATTTTATGCAAAAAAAAAAAAAAATAAAAAAAATAAAAAAAAATAAATAAAAATCACACCTGTTTCCTGTTGATTGAAGAAAATGAAAAACAACTTTGTGTAAATGTTTCATGTGCCTATCACAGCATGTCAGTCATCGAAAAACAACGAAGTCAAAAGTTAGTAAGAAATGCTGGAGCAAGTGTGTGAAGTTCCAACTGTCTCAGCATATAAATATTGAATATGAAAAGATCAGAATACTTCAGGTGTTTTCAGTCATTTATTTATGTTTTTTTTTTTTTTACAACTATTTTCCTGTTCCAGAGCTTCAATGCCATTTCATATTCCAAAATTGTGATGTCAATATACATGCACTATTTTCTTGGATTTTTAATGTTTTTCATTTTGCAACCATCTGGAACATCCTTGTAACTCAAATGAGGCTTACAACAATTGGTTTGGAAGCCACTACTCTATACAAGGTAATGAATTAATCAGTAAAGAATCTAACAACTGAAATAATATAACAAAGACAAGGATAATAGTCAAGAAGAACTGCTTCTTTTTTTCTTTGCTTCTAACAATAGCAGTTCATTACAAGTAATGTAAAAAGCAAGTGTTGAAATTGCCAACATGTATTCTGTCTGGAATGAAAGAGGCCAAAGACAAAAACTGATCTTCACACAATTGAATAAACAGGCAGAAAGTTTGACCATAAACCAGAGTGGGGGAGGGATATTATTCTGAGACAATGATTTTCTAAAATATGAAACAAGTCTGTCAAGAAACAAAGTGTTACTGAAAACCAGAAAGATTTATTTGAATCTTGAAATATTTTTAAAATCATCAACCAATTTCTTTTAAGAATAGCTTGCTGGTAATGCATTTGGATTAAAGTTTGTAGAGTTTAAAGCTCAATTCTTAGTACCAAGAGTCGAGTTACAAAAGACATAAAAAGAAAAGAAAATTGAAATTTTCAAACCTTAAAGAGCAAAAAAATAGATGAGAGAAAAACGCCAAATCAGGAAACAAGATATCAGAAAAGCAGAAAAAAATCCTAGAGAATATTGCAATCATGAATGCCATTTTGATCATAGGTGACAAATAGTTCTAGTTAAGTGGATTTTTAATTTTAAAATATATTTTTATAAAAAGAATTGAAGATCAAAAAGCACACACACAATTAAGGAATCTTAAAGCATATGTTTAAATTTTAAAAAAAAGGAAAAAAAAAAAAGAAAAATTTAGACATACAAACCTTTAGACCTCCTATATTTCAAGACTGAAGCTGGACTTTCTACTGACAATACTATTTAAAAAATGAAAAAAAATTCAGCAACTAATTTTAGCAACAAATTTGAAACAAACAGGCAACTAAATAAAGATTCAGGGACATAAAATAATTGTAAATACTTTCTTGGTCAGGGTTAGGGTTTGATGGAATGGAGAACGATTGATACCCTTTAATCAAACTAACAACTCCATCCTGGTACTTAGTTTTGTATGGTATAAGAATTAAAAATCCTTTGAAGCATTATAAGAAAAACAGAAAAATGAAAATGGAAATATGTATAAAGTTAACAGGTTTAAAAATACTTAGTAATAAAAACAAAAGAATATATATATATATATATATATGTGTGTGTGTGTGTGTGTGTATGTTCTGGGCTACAATGAAAAGCACAAAATATATGTTGGCAAGTATTCAACGGTATATATGGTGATAGATATTGGGCCTGTGCCAGATTAACTAAAGAGTAATTGTGTGTGTGTGTACACGCACACAGAGTTACCCAAATGTTCAGAGAATTTGAACAGCATGCACAAATTAAATGTACAACTGACTTTTGATATAACCCTTTATGATTTGAGTGTAAACATGCCTAAGGGGGGACCATCTGTGAAAGATGGTAGAAACTAAGGGGTTAGGGTAATTTATTTCATGGTCAAATTCTCTGAACTTATATTTTATAAAAATACTTAAAAAAAAAAAAATGGCAATAAAATAAAAATACATAAATATAAAAAACAGTTTATTTCAGTAAAATTTAAAAAAGAAAGACAAAAAAAGCTTATATGAAATTCAAACAAACAAAAAAAAAGATTATAATATATTTTTGGAAACAAAAATTAAAAAGCACAAACAATTTGATTCTGTAAAGAAAATAACCAAATCTGCTTTGAATTCATAAAAAATAAAAAATTCATGTCTTATTTTTTATTGCAATCTTGAAATGTTTCATTAATACCATGATAATAATAATACAACAGAGAAAACATGTGAAAATTATTAGAATTTTATGTTTTTTTTCAGGCTAGCAGAACTTCTGCCAAAAAAAGTGCTCAGTAGATAACTAGAGCTATAATGTTCAATAAATAAAGAAAAGTTCAAGTGACTTAACTGACCAGATAAGTCACTTGCACTTTCCTTAATTTAGTGAATACTAATAACATTACATTGACAAATTGCAATAAGCATTTAACAGAACTCTTAAATAAATAATAGTATATAACTGAAAAAGTCTAAATATCAAAATGGTTTATGGCAGCTAAACAGATAATATTTAAAAAAAGAATGTTAATCTGAGGCAAAAAGTTGCTATGTTACTTTCCATGCAGACAAGAATTACTTAAAAGTTAAATATTTTACTGATACAAGAAATTGTCAGTAAATGCTTCTTGAATGTTTGAAAATGTGAAAAATTTTAAATGCTCACAAAAACATAACAATTGCCATTTCTGAATAGGAAAAGTGAAGAAAAAAAAAGAAACTGAGACTTGGTACAAAAGTTAAAAGAACCTGGCATAGAAAAGCCAAAAAAACAAATTTAAAAAATGAATTAAGCTTCATTGTCCAATTTTTTTTTTTTTTTAATATATTTCAACCAGAATTAAAAATGATAAACAAATCAGTATGATCACTATGCAGTTTATTTGACTCATGCAATTGCTTTATATTATAGTTTAATAACAGAAAAAAAACATTTTAGTTGGGTAGATAACTGAAGAAAATATCTTTAAACTCTGACATTAAGTATTATATATTATATAATAATCAGTATGTTTAAACCTAATGCAAAAACTTTACCACAAAGACTAATATTAAATCTGCAACAATTTTAGATATAACAAACTTAAACTGCATATAAATGAAAAGATTAATGGTTTAAAGTTAAATAAAGTTAATATCTATATAATTAATTAACTTTAAAGTTAATCAATGCTTTAAAGTTAATATCTGTACTTTGACTTTCTGATATCAAAGACATTCTAGAAACAATTTGCAGATCATACATTCAATTCTTAGCTTAAAATTTTACATATTAAAAATTTAACAAAGCAGGCATTATGAAATCTATATAGGTATTAAAAACAAACCCTATAAATGCTTTAAAAAATTAAGCTGAAATATCAATTTGTAATTACTGACTTAGATTCTCAAAACAAAAGATGAGAAAAAGCAAGGGTAAAAAAAAAAATAAAAAAATCTTGTTTGAAAATTTTTTTTAAAAATCTCAAAATTATGCAAAATGTATCAAACATTTGCCAATAAAATAAATGTTTAATAATTTGAACCTGGAAGTGAATACACCTTCCCAATAAGTATTATTATATGACTATTGACCTGAAGCAGGTTAATTTATTAATTACCTGGCAATGAGGCCAAAGTGCTCATAATGATAAAGTGATGAAATGTACATACTAAAAGGAATTTTGGATTTTCTAAACAGCAACACAAAAACAAGACAAAAATAAAAGCTAAAAACTATATGCAAACATAGAACTAAATATTTTTTTTAAAATATAAAAAACTATATCGGTAACAAATGCTTACAGGTATATAAACATGTAGACAGATTAAGCCAATTGTGATTTATAATAGACACAAATGTAAAAGAATGAGCCATGCTTAAAAAAATCATATAGGACTTAATATATTTAGTCAGATGTCATGGCTGAGATAGATACTAGGCTGGGATTTGATATCAGTGCAGGTATATAATTAATGCAACTAGGTGATACATGCCACTTTATGTAAACAATACAAGAGGCACAGGATAAAAATAAATTATAAATAAATTGGACAGGCAAAAAGATTGGCATTTACCTTTACTGGTGTTAAAGAACGGCTTTGAGCTTATATCCCTCAGTTTGATACCTTTAAATTCAAATATAGTTGCAGAAGATGCTCTTAGTAAGTCACTCCAGTGCAAAAAAACAACATGCATGTCAATCATAGGAAAAATAACAATAACACTGTCAAAATGTTTTTTTTAAGCATCACACAAGAAGAAGAGGAATGAAGTTTTAGTATTACCATTTTTGTGATCAAAGTTCTTAAAAAGAGGATTTAACTAGTTGAAAATATTTTTTGAATAACTTATATTATTCCAGATAATTTTCAAAATGAGACTATCATATATAATGGGATATTTATCCAGTTCATATTTTATTTTTAAATTAAAAGTCAACAAGCATAAATTGTATTTAATACCAACCTAAGTTTTTTGTGTGCCTTAAATATTTGACAACTGCTAAGACTAGAACTTGTTGCTTCAAACTTGATTGATATGTACTTACAGATATAAAAATAAATAAATGGAAACATGAAATTATTCCAAAATGATTTTTAAATGCTTCCTTTTTCAGCTCCAAATATAAATATTAAGGTTTCATTATCTTTTTGTTTTTGGTAAAAAACAGCTTTGAACTGAACTTCAAAATTGAAAAAGTCTGGAGATGATTATTTAGGAATTTCAAGTGTCAGGAAAACTTCCAGGTGACTGGAGATCTTGTTTGGAATTGGAAAAAGTTTATAAACCCTGCCTCAGAAAAGAGATAATCAGGAAATTCCTACAGATTTATCAAAAGAAGCATGAAAATTTTTGCCACAAAACTCTTTGTAAAGCTTTAAGGAATTTTAACGTTTCAACAGCTGGGATCTCTGTTTATCTATTAGATTGATGCAAATCTTCCTAGCTTCCTGCATAATATTAGGGAAATCTTAAAAGTGTCTTTGAAATTTACTCTCTCCTTTACTGCTTATGTAATCAGCCAACTATAGCTTTTATAAGCCTTAGAAAAAATACAGAAACTAAGAAAATGTGTACTACATGAACTTGGACAAATGAACACTAGTCAGCATTGGTTTTCCATTTCTTATTTGACATAGAATAAAATCATTTTATGGATAGAACAGTCACTAACAATGAAAAATGAATTTATGAAAAAGCAAAATGGACACAATCATGACTAACTCAGGAGAGACTAACATCTCAAAATAGAATTTACTAGAGGGAAAATAGTTTGAAGAAAATTCTTTATTATAAATTGTTGGAAGTTAGATTGTTATTAGTTCAATGCTACAGTGAGAAATTTGCTTGTTTGAATGATTCTTGAAAAAGGGGAGAAAAATTTTTTCCTGGGCAAAGAAGTAGACCAGTGATTTTGATGCAATACTCATTCTCTTGTTTTAAATGTAATAAAGCAAATGTTTATAGAGTTGGTATGGGAAGTTCTTCTGCATGTTTATTCTGTAGGCATATTCACCTTCAAACACCTTCATTTGCTCATCAATTTCAACAAGAAATTTTAAAGAATTCACTGTTGAAACAAAAATCTTTATGATGAACAATATATAACTGAAAGATGGCATGGTGTGATAGGATAACAGAGAAAATAATGATTGTTAAAAAATCTTTGAGTCTGGAAATTTTTGCATCAGTAACACAATTTAGATGACAAGATGGTATATGATTGGAGACAGCCAAGGAAAATACTGTTTGAATAACAATGCTATGAACTTATATCATTAAAAGGTTTTGTTCACAAAAAACTCTGGAAACTTTTGCATCAGCCTAAGATATCAATTATTTTCAAACTGCATTGTTACACATAATGATGGTCATGTCTCAATTGAAAATTGATATATATATATTCAAACAGCACTGAATGTAAAATATAAAAATTACAACGAAAACCTGGGTTAACATATCAGTGTAAGGCCTATTATTTCTTATAGGCTTAGGAAAGGCTTAGATTCTGACTGTAAAAATGGCCAATATAAATAAATACACACACACACACACACACAAAGAGAGAGCTGAAAAGTTTTCCATTCAACCAAGAGCTTTTCCTGACTCCTCATATATATAATTTTGGAAAGTATCTAGCCATTTAATGTTTAATACTAATAAAAACATACCCTAAGTTGGTTAATGGCACCTTAGTCTCCTTCAAATTACTGCTCTTGGAAGCTAATACATTTATTCCTTTCCATTTTCAAAATAGTCTGCAAATCCTTTTAGGGATCACTATCAGCTGCTTCCTTATTTCATTATTTTTTTCCATGGTTTGAAAGTAAGCTTTTAATGGTGATTTTAGCTTTGGAAATAGCCAAAGCCACAGGGAGATAAATAAGGTAGACTGGCAAGCTGGGCAGTGGGAAATTTTGTCATAAGATAAAATAAACTCTGAATGAAACATCATTGTGAATGAGAGCACTCACATAAACTCAGTCATTAATGCTGCACTATAATTCCATTCCATGGGATGATGCCTGTTTCCTCATGTGTAGTAATGTCCACTCTGACTGGTTGTCAGTTTACATCAAGGTCAGAAAACCATTCAAATTGGTTGCTTGCTTCATAGGCAGGTAGGTTATACACACACATAAAAATGTAAGATGAAGTGCTGAAAGGATCTTGACTCATCCAAGAAGCTCTTAAACAAAAACTTAATGTTTGATTATTTAGGAAGTAAGTTAGGTTGAAAACCTTTTAGCAGCCTCTCATAACATTATTCATGTGTGATAAACTGGTGATATTTATATAAAATAAATGATAATGAAAATATATAATATAAATAAAATTCCTTTAAGAAAAGACAAAAAACTGCCTAGCAGCACTAGATATCCTAAAAATGTTATCAGAAAAGAAAAAGTGTCAAGCAAAGTAAGGAATCCAAGTAGGTCTGAGAAGTCAAAAGTAGAATGGATCTAAATGGATGTAAAGAGATGTATCCTTTGATAAATGTGATCCATGACCATAACCCTATTGTGTTATGCCCTATTGCTATGTTACTCATGACTTGATAATTTAACAATTATAATCCTTCATTGACAAAATATCTAAAATGAATATTACTAATGGAATATCTTTATTAAAATAGTACAGAAATGCAAAGGATACAAAAGATTGAATAGATTCAATTCTCAAAGAATTGTACACAATTTTTACTGCAGAATTATTTTAAAAACTCTTGGATTGTACTGGCATCAATTCCACAAAAAATATTGAACTTTAATAGCATAATCCAGACAAGACATAAAATTGAAAATCAATGTTACAAAAATACAATGCAGAAGATCCAACAGAAGAGCAATTCTTCATTTTCATTAATTTTCATTTTAAATGAAATTAGCCAGAAAGTAAATTAGCCATAAAACAAACAGGTCTAGATTTTTATAATGGAATGTACTTTTATTTTTTCAAAGACATTTATACCCATCTCATAACAATCTTATGATGACAGTAGCAAAACTAGGAACCTAATTGGTAGCTCAGTGGCTATAACCTTTATCTAGACAGAATAAGGTTTATAGTTCAATTCCTGCTCTATATTTCTAATAGAAGATATAACGGTCTCTGAAGAAAGCTGTTCTACAACTTGACCAAAATGATATAACAATAACCAGACTTCTAAGAAAACAAAGTAAATAAAAACTAGGAAAAAAGAAACTGATTTAAAAGCAAGGACTATCCATTCAGGTATATTTGGTCAACTACTGCTATGATACATTCTGAACAAAGGAAAGCAACAGACCCTATGAGGTGTACTGGTAGTTAAGTGGAAATGTCCTACAAAATTAATGAACTACACCATTTATTCACAAATTGTTGCCAAAAATAAATAAGCTTATTTTTATTACAATATTCAAAGCAATGACTTTCTAGTCATTTCTTGAAGCCACAAAATTTCCAATGACTTTGTTCATTGATTGAATCCAGAATTTAACAATGGCTTCTTTGATTGGAAACAATATAAAGTACTACTATAAAGAAAAATTATTAGTCTATATAATTATAGAGTGCAGATTTTGAGAGTTGGCTCTAAAATCAATAGAAATAACTCAACATTAAGGAAGTCACAAAGTCCAGTAAGAAGCTCTCTCTCTCTCTCTCAAAGAGAAAGAGAGTAAGTAGGTTAAAAGATGAAAATTTATCTAAGTGGATGCTTCAGAAAAAAACAAAACAAAAAAAAACTAGGTCTTTTTCCCTTCATTCACTCTTTTTTTGTGTGTCTATATTTTCTATGACATTTATCTCTCCACCCACCCATATTTTCTCTTTATCAATACAATCTTTTCTCCTCCCTCTAGACTTTCTTTTTCTTCTCATGTGTGAGAGAAAGAGAAAGAGAAGTAGCTTCTTTCTTTCTCGTCTTAAAAAATGGCTCAAAAGTCAAAAAGATAAATTTTATTTTTGTGCTATGTGGGTGGTGTGTTTAACCTATGTAGAGAACCCTTCTTCAGTCAACTTTGCAATATCTATGTGCAAGGAATAAATAGTCTGAAAAAAGCTAATTTTGAGCAATAAAGAAAGAATTTCACCTTGATTTAAAGGTTGACATGAAAAAATTGTTGATTGAAGCGTTCAACTTTAAAAACAAGACTTCTCCCTAAGCATTTGCTTTACTTGCCACTGATTTGTGTCTCAGTTATGCAAAAAATGGAAGAGAAGACAGCCAGATGGAAAGGTCACAGTTCTCAAGATACAGATGCATCTTAGAAACATAGAAACAATGTTTACAGGCAAAAGCACTGAATTCTTTGGTTGTTAAGATTCTCATTTTTCAGAGATTAGCTCTTGTGAGTTTGATGAAGAAAGAGTTCAAAAGGAATGGTAAGCATGATGAAGAGATATGAAAAATTAAAAAACAAAACAAAGAGGAAAATGGAAGAAATATAAGAGATTGAGAAAAGAGGGGTGAAAAGAGAGAGACTATTAGAAAATATGAGAGAAGACTAAAAGTGAGAGAAAGTGTGTGTCAGATAATAGGAGAGGACACAAAGGGAGCAGGAGAAATTGCCAGAAAATAGAGAGAGAGAGAAACTGAGAAGAGAGGAAAGTAAATTGAGAGGGAGAAAGATAAGGAGAATGAGAGAAAGAGTAAAATTGAGAAATGAGAGCAGACTACTGCAAGAGGGAGAAAGAGATTGAGAAAAAGAGTAGGAGATGGCAAGAAATGGAGAAAGATTGAGCAAAGAGTGTTTGAAAAGAGACTGAGCAAAAGAAAAGTGAATATAAGAAGGATAGAAAGAAAGTGGTAGTGCTGGGAAGAGAAAAGTGTCTCTAGGAGAGAATGAAAGAAAGTGTGAAGAAGGAAAATAAGAGTGTGAAAGAACTTTGCAACTGTATGAAACACTTTTCTATTTTTGCATTTGTCAATACTAAGTGTTTATAAGTCATAAACAAATTACTGAAGATAAGTTTCTCTAAAGAAACATAAAAGAGAGTTTCTACAGGAATGAAAGGCTGGAGACTATAAAGCCAGATGATAAGTGGAGTAAAGTGCTGTATAATGCTTGACATGAGAGTCAAAGAAAAACAAACCATGTCAAAAAATCCAAAAACCAAATACTTCAGAGTATGCAATCAAATAACCCCATTTAATAAAGGTAAAAATAAATGCCCACAATACAAAAATATTAATTCTACTAACAATTTCAACATCTTAAAACAGGTTAGATAGTTGATGGAAGTAAAATATTACAGACTATTATGTTTGCATTCATGTAAAATTAACCACATTTAAAGTGTTACGTTAATGATGAGGTTTTTGTAAAATGTTGTTTGTATTATTTTTTTTGAAGATAGCCTAAGAGAAGAATTGAGCAGTGGAATTTAACTGCAAAATTTTCTAATGAAAATAAGATTTTACATAAAATATCACTTTCTTGTAACTAAACAGTGATAAGATTATATTTGTTACACAAATTAGATACATTTTTAAATTTTCAATACATTAGGTCAAATTATTTTTTTAAAAATAGAGCCAAATTTGTTTTCTGTTTTCTTATTGTGGAGCTACAGTGGAGTAATGGATTGTGGCTCGGATTGAGGAACTGAAAAGCCAAATTCAAATTCCATTAGAGTTCATTCATCTTATGGGCTAATACCATTGGGAAAGATATGACTCCATCTCTTTTGCTTCCAGTTATGGGTAAATAGCAAGACAGACAGGGTTCTATAGCCTTGGGTAGCAATTGGTCTAGAAGGAAAAACTCTGAATTCAAACAGGCATGGAGAGAGTTGGGCTCTGTCAGGCTATTTTGCCTGAGACACACCACTTCTGCTGCAACAGCTGTACATGTAGTGCCCCTACATAACTTGAAAGAGTTACGGGACTTGTGATCATGATTGTAGATAGCTACAATACAGCTCTCTTGAAATTATATGAAACAAAGTTTTGTTTCATGGAGTGGTTTAGTTTCCAGTAACATATGTGTGACAAATCATTATTTCAGCAGACTGCAACCACCTCAATTATTATGTGCGGGGTGCAGTTGACCAAGAGACCAAAAAAACTCTTTGTAACACCAAAAATGAACTGAAGGCAAGGATTATGACAGCATTCATCAACTTAAATGAGGAGACTGTCCAAAAGAGTTGCAGGAGATTCCAAAGTTGTCTGGAGGCCATGGTTGAAGCCAATGGCAATTTTACTGGATAAATTTTCTCTTTAGTATTTCAAGATATTTTTGTGTAATTTTGGTAAATATATCTGTTAAAAAGAGGTGCCAGTATTATTTTCATTTTTGCATAATTTACATGACAATTTATTGATCGCACCCAGTACTTATTCTATTTTCTTTTTCAATTGATTCTTTTTCTATAACTTATCACCCCCTTGCAGGTTATTCAAAACCAGAAAATATTTTTAGATTGTAATAATTTTTTTTCACCTTACTAATTAACCCATAGTTGTGGGGAAATGTAAATTCATACTTTTTCCAAGGGTATTTCCAAGTGAATATAACAAACCGAAAGCAGATTGAAACTCTGCTCTCTGATTAACAATTCTGAGCCATTATCCATTACACCATACACACATCCAAGCTTACAGCACCTGGTATTCCAAAATAGTTAGCCATCTCTGTATTGACCTGGGTTGACATTACTTAATTTCGGTGATCATACAGGAACCAGTATTTTGATGCAATTTTATTTTTTTACCTAAGTTACTGGTATAATAATTGAAGATTATCTTCTTAGGTATCATTGGGTTAGAAGCAGAAAAATGCTCAATGTTAAGGTCAGCATTATTGTTATTAGTAGTAGTAGTTTTAAGTCCTAACAAAACTAATAAAATAAAGTAAGAAAGTAAGTGAAGCCATATTATATTAAAGCTATAGTGAATTGCAACGTTAGTCCATCAGTGAATAAGCTTATCTATATGAACTGATGTGAGAGTCAAGAGTTTTCTTATTGTTTCACATGATTCTGTACTTTTGAGGAATTTCACACTAGTGAATATATAACATTTCTACCTAAGATGATTTCTAAAAGTGTTTTCATTATTCTGCTTATATATTTTTTTTTTTAAGACTTATTTGTTGTTACATTGTTTCAACAGACATATTCTTCAACCTTTTTACACTGGCTGAAGTTCTTAAATGACTATTTTTCACATTATTTTTTCAATATTACCTAAACACAAAGCTAAAACAATCGTTCATGTGATTGTTAGACTGTGGTGATCTACTGGAGATTCTGAAGATGACCAAATACAATTTACATCTGAAGAAAGTCAAAGAGTATATATGACTCAAATATTGCATTAAAAGCAACAAAGATTATAATTTGAAAAAAAAAAAAAAAAGGAAAAAAAAGTGGAATAATCCTTGCTTATATTTTCAAATATTTGTTCTCAGCACTAATTTTTAATAGTAAACTTTTATCATTATTTTAATTAAGAAAAATAAAAATTACATTAACATTTTACTAGCTTATGATAATGGCAACGATAAAATTAACCATTTCCAGGAAAAATTTGATATTAACTCCTTGAATAGTTAGCATTACTGTTGCCTGAAATTTATAAAATCTTTTTCTTAAAATATTTTCTCAGGTAATTAGACTTTTCAAATCCACTGTTATCATTCTTTCTAGTATTGATGGGAGTTTCTTTCCTAACCTTTTTGTAGCCCCAGTCTATAGAGCTCGATGAAGGATTGTTTTAAGATGGAAAGAATTTATTCATTTGTAGTTATTTCTTTGATCTGAGAAAACAGTTGAAGATAGTTATGTCTTTTTTATTGTTCAGAAATGTCTGAACTATCGTTTGTTTCCTTTTCAATTTGATACTTAGAAATCAGTTTCTTGTCAGGTGCCTGTGTATGAAGCTTAAAATAAACATCAAAACTGGATCATTTATACACTCTACCCTGACCTCATCTCCTCTTTGCAATAGATCCTCTTGAACCAATTATTCTGGTTTCATTTTTATCATTTTAAAAAGATTTACCTTTTTTTTTTTTTTATTGTAAAGAAGGGAAAACCCACAAATCATTTTGTGATCTCTGATGCTTTTAAGTTTGATAAAAAAAAAAAAAAAAAAAACAACTGTTACTTATACTACTGCAGAGCAAACTACTTTGTGTAATGCTTGTTTCTATACAGTTTAAGTGAACTATCAGCAAGAAAAGCTTGGAAAGAAAAGTTAGAATATGTACACAAAAAGATGTACATAGGAATTTCAGGAAAATTTTAGAAAATAGACACTTAAAATAATCTGTAATCAAACATCAGATGGCAGTATTTAAACTTCATGCCTGCAAAAAAAAAAAAAAAAAAACTGTGTCAAAAGAATAGTTATTCCCTTGACATCACTATTACTGTATACACTTTTGACCCCTTTAGCAATGTTTACTTACAAGATTATAAAAATGTGACACAAGTAAAATGTGATATTTATTATTTACCTTTTATAAACAAATAAATTTGAAAAAAATTTTTAATTAAAAAATTTATAAAAAAACATTCAAAAGTACCAAAATATGTAAACCACAGTGCAATATTTATTATTTACCATTTTATAAATAGCTATGAAAATAAATGTTTTATTCATAATTTAATAAAAAATATCAATTAACTATTGTTGTCAATTCTCAAAAATAAAGTGTATAAATCCACTTTCATGTTTGGGTTTTTATTAAAATTCCAAACTTTGCTTCTTAAAACAATAAATGTTGCCAAGGCAGACTACAGTAATAGAGGTGTCAATGGAATAACCGTTCTTTTGACACACAATCTTTTTTTTTTTTTTTCAGGCATGAAGGTTAAACATTACCAATCTCATTATGTATCAGGAATTGTTTTATGGAACTGCTAAATAAAATGTAATAAAGAACATATAACTGGAAAGAAAAAAAAATAAATCAATTCCCCAAAACAAAATATGTAGTTTAAAAATTTGTTGTATGAGTAGAAATTAATAAAAGCAGTCAGAGAAACTGATATGATACCAAATATGTAGTAAATATGATTTCCAAGGATTAGAATTAATGATTTTAGTAATATTCAGCAAATTTACTAAATAAATAGCTCTTGCTATGAATCACAATATTCTTGACAAAATCCAAAGGGTCTGCAAAATTATCAGTCCTAACCTGGCATCTCAACTTCAGTCCTTTTCCTACCACCATGACATGGCTTCCCTCTGTCTTTTCTATAAATATTTTCATGACAGTTTTTTTTAATGAACTCTCATCCTTGGTACCTCAATCGCATGAATTTAAGTCTACTACAAGATTGGCTAATAGTGAATTTAAGTGTACTATATGTTAGGTTCATTACTAATCTCTCTTATCATTGAAATAAAGGTAACTAAGTTTTATTCTAATATTTTTTTTTCCTTGTAGTTCTTTTTGAAACTCTCTTCCAGTTTCTTGCTTCTTGGCCACCTACAAGCTTTAAAAATCAATCACTATCTTCTATTTTCCTGAATCTTATTCTTTTGTTATCCTTCCTCCTCACTAAATTCTTCTCATTCTCTTCCACTCCCAGTAACTCCTTGCGTCTTAGTGGCATTATCACCTTCCTTGGGATAAAATGATTAAAAAAAAGAAATTATTACAAAAAAAAAAAATCCTTGGAAATTCTATTTCCCACAAATATTTGTACGCATGTCTGCTTCAACTGATAACAACTTCTTGCAATTCTTTGGTTTAATTATTTAATTTTTCTTTTAATTTATAGTTTCATATAACAATTCCTGGAATACAAGTGGGCATGTTCAATTGCAAGTTTTAATTTTTGTTACTGCTTTTTTTTAGTATTTTTTATTAAGTGTCAATCATCTCCAATTTTACCAAAATTTAATTAGTAAGAATAAAGCCACTAAATCGAAATAATTATTATCTCTGCAAAAAAAGCAGTTAAATGTTGCTCAAGCCACAAACATTTCACCCATCCATCCACCTGTGACATCCACAGAGTCTGTGTCATTTGGGCATATTATGCCCAAAGTGCAGTTTGCAACTATAGTTTGTGCAAAACAATATGTGCCTCACCTTTGATGGCCTCTGCCAATTCCTCATTTGTCTGCAGAATGTTCCCCTGAACAAGTTCCAGTGGTCCTGGCCGATGGGACAACTTGTCATTGAGGCCATCAGCGAGTCGTGCTCTTTTCAACTGCCGCTGGCGATCATGGAGAGATGGATCAACTTTGGTATCTGTAAGAAAAACAAATAAAGGAACATCAGGTGAAACAAAGAGAAACCATTGGGCAAGGAAGTGCAGGATAAAACAAACTAAGAAGAAATAGTCACACATTTGGAAATTTCCAGGAAAGATACCAGAGAAAGCAAGAAATCAGAATAATGTACCTTCCCTTAAAAAAAAAAAATACTGTGTCTTTTCAGGATATAGTGATCACGACTATTCACAGCTTCCTTTTCTTTATTATATATGAATTGCCATGAATATTTCGGAAGTATACTAGAATGATTTCCTGTTGTCTTTGCCAGAGTTTAGAATTGAGGGTTTTTGGGGTTTTTTTTTACCCAAGTCTAGAGAGCCCAGTTTAACTATCTCTCTGCCCTTAGCTGTGGGGTGGAGAGACGGATTCATGCCTTTCTTAAGGGCATTTGTTCACAAGTGAACACAGCATATGAGCTTGGAATTTGAACTTGGCTCACTAATTCTACTTCCCATGCTAATGTCCATTATACAACCTAAACTAGCCACTAATAAGAGTATTTGAAATGTCCCACATTGAAAAATCTACAAAGAGTTTCTAAAAGAAATGATAAACATGCAGTTTTAATAATTCTCAGATTTTATTTGTGGTTGAAGCACTAGACCATGAAAATGATAGATCTACAATATGTTTTATATTCATGAACTTAATGATTTAAAACTGTCAAATGATATCTCAGAAATTCTTGAGAAATGAATCAAATCAGCATGAGGAGTAAAAAAACTCATAAAATTTAGTTCTGAAAAGGTAGAAAAAGTGAACAGGGGCAAAGTGCAAAAATAGTTAGGCTTTGCAAAATAAGAGTGGTGATGGAGGAGGGGCAGATTATTAAGGGCCTATAAGATAAAAATTGGAGGAAAGGAATAAAAATGTTTTAATTAAACTAAAAAAGAGGGAAAATAAAAAAGAAAGTGTTTAAAAAAAAAAAACCCAAAAAAAACATCTAAACCATAAAAAATTGTATCTCACAAGAAAAAATTAACTGCCCACTCCTCAAAACACTTCCTAAACACAAGAAATGAATTAAGTTTTAAAAGGTCACTCCTCTACATATCAAGGTCACTGGCGTGTTTATGAAAAAAATAAATATGCAAAAATTCGCCTTTCTCCCTGCTGGGTGTAAATAGCCTAGTGGTTAGAATCTCTCTGACTAATGCCAAATCGGTCGGGTTTTGGTCCTGGCTTAAAGTGATTGGATGTCTAGCCACACTGATGAGCTGTGAAACAGTCTGTGGATGGCTATATATAGTCATGGTGCTACCTCAAAGATCAGACTCAAAATGGTTTCTTCAAAGTCAAGAAGTGATAAAAAAAAAGGTTCTTTACTTTTTTGATGGTGTGATTTCAAAAGATATGTGAAATAGAGATAAGAAACACTGAATAACATGATAAATGAATAATTTGACAAAAGTCACTAAAGTTTTGCATGTTTAATTCTGATGCATGTGTATGTAATGGCATATGGCTGAGTGGTTAAAATGTTCGCTTTCTGACCATGAGATCCAGGTTTGAATCTCATCATGTTGGATTAAATAGGGAGCTGACTTTTTGATACTACTGACCTGGAGAGATGATCCCAGCATCTGGCACCATTAGAAAGTGGCCTATCACTGATTGATCCAAGCTTTGTGAGTGAAATTGGGTAGGTGGAACTATTCTGGAAGCTGTTGATGGTTGTGTTACAAGTTACAAGTCATCAAATCCAAGGGTTTGAGTGTATTGGACTTGTTCAAACTTTTAATCTTACTAGATGATACGCTCTCTCCCAGAAATTGAAATTAAGATCCGCTCAGCATAAACCACAGGTTCTTACTTCAACTATTTGTATATTTAAAATGTGTGTGTGTGTGTGTGTGTATATGTGGAAGTATAAAAATCTGTTCATAAAAGGTTGCAAAATGTCTTCTATATGCCATTTCCCTTCAGGATGTAGGTGATCATGGCTCTCCACAGCTTCCTGTCCTTTGTCATTTTTAGTAAGTTTTGTCTTTTTACTATCTCTCCTAATCTCTGTTCTGCCAACCATTTACACAAGCTCATTTGGTAAGTTATTCACTATTTTCCTCCCTCCTGCCTTCAATATGGCCTGTAACTTTAAATTAATTCATATAAAAAGCCACAAATCATCATTATCTATTTGTTTTTATATCAGAAAAATAAAACTGAAATATTTCTGTGAAGAAAATTTGTGAAACATTTAGTACACTAGAAGTTCAAAGTCAAATGGTGGTGATGATAGTTTAATGAGGATTTTATATATATATATATATATATATAATTCTCTGTTGCTCTGTTTATGGTAGGAAGTGCTTGAAGAATATAAGTGACTAAATTTGCTGACTGGTTGATTATTAAGGAAGAAGTAAAAGGAAAGTAGTTTAGGTCATTGACAATGGCAGATGTTTTCACTTTACCTACAAGATTTGAACACACCAATGCCCCCACCCCAAGTGCATGTTTTTGTATGAGTCAGAACCAATCTAATACTTATATCACTAATGAATCTTTCTAACTCCAGGGGAAAAAGTCAGAAGTCAGAGGAATGGGAGTTTGGCATATACCTACTACTCTTATAGTGTGAAAATTCAGCTACTTACAATGTAAAAATCATTTCTAGAATTATTAATTCTTTTTATAATCAGGTGAGTTTTCAAAAAATATATACTGAAGACACATATTGAAATAAATAGGATCTTGTCATCTCTGGTAGAGAGGTTTTTCCACTCAGGATCTTATGATACAAAAGATTTGAAGACATTTAAATTGATTAATTTTATTTATATTTAAAAAATTATTATTATTATTGTTGTTATTAAGTGGTAAGCAACAATATAATGTTCAGTTGAACAAAACTGGCTACCTTACATCTGAGCTGGGCTTCAAGAAGAGCATTCGGCCTTGAAAAACCTTGCCTCAAATAATTATGACAAATCCTTTCTCAGGCAGGACCCATCTTGCTTTGTTTGCTGATCTTGCCTCAACAAAAAACATGTTTATGTATATATGTATTGTCTAGTGGTGATAGTCCTCCAAATTTTTGCCCATTTCTCAGTTATCCTTTTAAGTTATTAGTGCTACTTACTTCCATAGGAGGATTGGCATTATATATATTTCTCTTTATAAATTCACTATTAGGTTATGAATTTACTTGATTACAACCATAATGTTTCTGCCTTCTTTTTAATGATAGTATTACTCTAACACTTATAAAGTGATATCACTAACAATTTGCTTGGCAAAGAATTTGGGTTGGTGAGTCAAGGAATTTCCACCTATACAACCACTTATGTCCTTAGGTTTTAGTTAATGTGTGCATATCTGTTTGCATTTTTGCATGTGTATCTGTATAAATTTATACATGCACATGAATGTGTACATGAGCTGGAATATTGAGTAGGCTTTGTTAGATAAGACAGATCTTCAGAGAAACTTAAAAACCTGATTAGATGCTTAAGTTTTTCATCACAGCAAGGATCTTCAAGAAAACCTCTCCTTGAGTGAAATTAAGAAAAATAATAATGCATATATCGTAACAGCTAAATGATGGTTGCCAACAGATTGAATTAATTCTTGCTTTTGAACTTATTAACAATAGCATTTTAAACTTCTGCCTAAAATCTAAGAAAAAAATGTTGATTACGGCCCAGCCAATTTGATACTAAACAGCAGAATATTGTGCAATACAAAAGTTTTGTTTCATTGTTTTACAATACAGATTGGGCAGAATGTTTCTCTATATTTCTGAGATGAGGTATTATGCACACTATTTACATTGTTCAGACTATCATCCTCATCTTTGTTGCCACTCCATGGTGGTTGGAATGTCAAACTGAACCCTTTATTTCACTCACAGGTAGACTGTTCTAGTTCCATGTCTAATGGATGTCAGTTATCAGTTATCTCCTGTTAATTCCCCTCTCCAAGTTCTCCACTGCCTTAACCAGGTATTGAACTCACACACTTTGGGTCCTGTCACTGGATCTAACTAATGCCTTTATCCACTGTGCCATGTGTTCTTGTGTATGAATTTCTGGGTTTTATAAACCTAATGTCTTTGGCAATCTATTTTTACTAGTGCTCATATTGCAATTTTTGCTGTTATCATTGCATTTTTTTTTTTTTTAATACTAGAGCTCATATTGTAATTTTCATTTTTATTATTGCTTTTCTCGGGCACTCCTTATTACTGGTTCCCATATTGTATTCATTTCTGTACTTGGTCGGCTCAGTGATAACAGCAAAAATTGCAATATGAGCACTGGTAAAATATGGTTGCCAAAGACATTAGGTTTATAATACCTAGAAATTCATACACAGATGTCCTCAAGGACACATAGCACAGTGGATAAAGAGTGTGAGTTCAATACCAGGTTAAAGCAGTGGAGAACTTGGTGGGGGGAATTAACAGGCGATAACTGACATCTATTAGACATGGCACGGGAAACTAGAAGTCTACCCCAGTGAGCGAAATAAAGGGTTCAGTTCGATATTCCAATCACCTGAAAAGGGCCGGAGCGTACAACGGCTGAAACATTGTGATAAATATGTTAACAAAGATGAAGATGATAGTACGAACAATGTAAATAATGTTTCATCTTTGTTGTATGGTCAAATATAATGGAATTAAAACTGAAACTGATATTTTCACAGCCTTATGGATAGATTGTTTACACTCTATATAGAGTGCAATGCTTTTTGCTCGGGTAGAATTATTAAAAACAGCAGGCTGAAATGTTTGGAAATCCAAGAGTGATTATTTAGATGAAGATGATCAGATAAATTAGCATATGTTAATTTCTGCTTGACTTTATGAGATGAGGCATTATCAGTATTTACACTGTTTACATTAGAACTGTTGATCTCATCTTTGTTGCTGTTATCACAACGTTTCAGCCATTGCGTCCTTCAGCCTTCATCAAATGTATATCGATCCTGATAACCTACAGGGAATTCTGAACTGAACCCTTTATTTAATCTTTTGAGTAGACTGTTGTAGTTCCATTACCAACATCTAGGAATATCTTTCCTAGTTCTGATTTTTAGTACTGCTCAATTATTGGTCGTCTTGTTACCACTGAGTTCAAATTCTCCACAGTGAATTGTCCTATAGCCTTCATGGATTAAAACATTGGTACGTGAATTCAGTGACATTAATTGTGAGTCCAATCACTAGGCCAGGCAGTGTATACTCTTAATCATTGGAAACAGGATGAGCAATAACTGAGCAGTACTAAAAATAAGAACTAGACAAGATATGCCTAGACATGAGTAGTGGAATGAAAACAGTCTACCCTGTAGATTAACCCTGTAGCATTAAACATACTCAACCCCACACTGTAAATATTGGCTCAAAAAGTCTCACTGTTTGCATGACACCTCATGATATTTGTGATGGTATTATCATATATTACGTCAGAGTATATACATGGGCAGGTTAAACATTGAGAGCTGATATTTACCAGGCAGGTTGAATAAAGGGTTCAGTTTAGAATTCCCAATAGTATATCCAGATTGATATACACCTGATGAAGCCTGTAAGCCAAAATGTCATAACATCAACAAAGAGGAGGACAATAGTCCTAATGTAAAGTTAAATAACATATGTTAGTTGCTTAATAAAAATCTTTAAGCAAACTTGAATTTATTCAAATATAAAGCAGAGTCAGATAAGGAATAAAAGAGAAATATAAAAATACTCATGGTGAGAGGGAAATATTTAAAGACAACTCACCTTCCAAAATGTGCTGATTTACAAGTGATTCTCTGTCTGGCCGATGCTGTATTTTGTGCCGTAGAAGATCACCAGTCTGTAAAAGACAAACAAAACTGAAGTTATTCTCTTTTCTTAATTTATTTATGAAAAACTTTCAACAAAAGTAAAACATTAAAAAAGTAAAATCTCTGAAAAATCAACACTATCCCACAATTTTGTATATGAAATGTATTTGTAAACATAACTATTATTGAACAAAAATAGTATAAGCCAGCTATTTTCTCATGTAGATGTTATTCAAATCTGACAGTTCCTCCAATGCTTTCATATTATGGTTGGGAGGCCATATAAAAAAAACGGGATCCTTACAATTACAGAGGGGTACTCAAATGAGTTTTGCTAAGCAGCAGTCCCCAACAAAAATCTCCTTGCTAAAAAAAAAAAACAAAAAAAAAAAAAAAACAACAAAAAAAAAAAAACAAAAGCTTCTTAGAGATTGAAAAGTTCTAGTTTTTATCCTGATACTCAACATACATCCAACATAATCAGAATCTAATATTTCTCAGTGATGATTTACTCATCCCTCATCAAAGTGTTCAATAAATCATTAATTATAAATAACAGCTAATGACAGTTTTACAAAGTTTAAACCTCAAGGAAAAATTCACATTCTATTGCAGGTGTTTAAATTAGGAAAACAATATATACTTTTAAATAATTTTCTAAACAATTTATCAAGTATATTTATAAAGACTATTCCACTTCAAGGGACCAAACACTTGAGGCGTGGATGTTATTTAAGCAGATGTGACTGGAGATATCCAGTGTAAATATACTTGACAGCACTTTCCAGTGTCATATGTTATATATTTGATCCAAAATAAGCATTACAATTCACATCAACTTTAGAAATTATCCATCCAGTTTCCTGAATCATCATCACTTTTATTTATATTTTAATTTAATGACTCAACATTTGACTTTAAAATAAAACAACAACTGCACAGCAGTTCCTATAACATAAACAAGAAATATAAACCTTTCTTGCTCATGAATATTTTTTGATTTCTTTCATCTGTTCTTTGCTATTCAGATGATCACAAGCAAGAGATTGTAATATTGAAAAGCACGAGTTTACTGATGATTAAAGTTCAGCAATATCAAACCAGATCAGTACTTAAATGAGTGACCAATTAGGAACACTACTGTAAGCAACTTGTGAACATGCTTCAGATTAAACAAACTTCAGTAAATAAATATTTTTTTTAAAAAGAATATTTCTTCTTTTTGTCATGAAATTAGGAACTTCAGAGATGTGCAATCATGAAGTACCCTGGCAAAACACATACTTCTATAATGTATCACTGTTAAAGCCAAAACAGATTTTCCAAAATATAGTTAGCATTTCAACCTATGATATGCCTTTTAGTAATCATGTCAAGTATCTTAGTAACCTATACTCTAATTTTGGATAATGATAAGAACAAATGCAAATGTATTTTTGAAAATAAATATAACCCTCTCTTGTACAAATATTAACCACAAAAGCATTTAAAACAATAGAAACCATATATTTATCTTCATATACAGATTTTTATTTCATTTATAAATTTTGCACATGACTTGGTCAAGAATTTGCTTAAGCGAAACAAGAAAGAACCCACATATCATTCATACTAACAATGGCCACACATTAAAACAAAATCCAATCCAAAACCAAATTCATGTTTTACAACTGTATTCAGATCAGTCTACCAAACAACAAGTACAAACCACTGAAGCAAAAAAGGAAGGAAGGAAAGCACCTGTGCATAAGTTTATGGATATAAGATGCAAAGAGTATAGAAGAGAAAAGAGAGAAGAAAAAAAAAAAACATAAGCATTTTCAAATCTGGAAATCAGCCATCATATGTTGTGATCTGACATAGGAAATGGGTTAACAGTGAAGAATATCTTGGCATGAAGCAGTACTTGAAAGTAACCAGAAACTGTGTCTTTTTCAGATGGGAAGGAATTAGACTGGCAGAAAAGAGCACTGCTATGTCATAGTAACCCCAACATTCCAGCCAAAATTAAATCCCAAATACAAATAATTCCAAATAATTGTCTCACATTTTTTTTTCCAAGGATGCTGCACCTATGAATCCAGAGCTATAAGTTTCCAACAGCTAATATGCAAAAGCAAGCCAAGAAATTACAAATATTTCCTTTTGCTGTAATAAAGGAAAAATCAAAAATTATTATATCCCAATCTGCAAAATATTGTTGCAAGAAAAAACTTTTTATACTGTTGTAGCACACCTACAGACGATAATGGACATGTCCCCATTCATATAAATAGAGGAGAAAAATACTGTATGTTGGTCTAGAGTTGGAGATTCATTGTGGAATTCACTTGACTCACTTCTAGCAGTTGACTACTACTTCTATACGCCTATGGCAAATCTTGTGTGTGTTGTTCTTGTCTTAAGTATTATTGTTCATTATCAAGCTTTTGTGATTATTCTATTTAGGTTACAACACATACAAAATGCACTCAGTTGCATAAAAAACACTCGATACATCATATTTGAAAAATAAACACCACTGTATCTGCCTATATTTCTCAGATGAGGTATTACGTACACTATTTACACTGTGTTGTTTATCATAGTTATTCTTTACTAATATCATCATATGAGAGACAGAAAAGAAATCAGAATCCTAAAAACAACTTTGAAGCAATGATAACAAAATTTTAAATAAATATTCAAAAACATGAGAAAATAAAGAATTTTCTTCTTATAAAATTTATTTTATTCTAATTTGTTTCTAGATGCCTGATGATGATGTATTCATTTTATGTAAGAATACATTTCATGAGTTCCTGTTCTATAAAAAGAATTGGTCCAGATGGTACCAGAATTATTCTTCACACTAATTTTGACTGGAATAACAGAAAATCATAGCGTAAAACTTTTGCAGCTTCAACTGTAAAAAATGGTGAGAGGATGAAGATAATCCCAAGACCAACAGACATAAATACTTGGCTGATATCCAATCAAGAATCATTTATACCCCACCCCCAAATCCTTTGCACTCATTTTGAAACTGCAAAATGCTGTCTCCTTTTTATAGTGATATGATTTACACTCCTATACATTCTCAAGTGCAAAAGTTGGAAGACTACAAAACTTTTTTTTTTTTTTTTTAATGAAACATTTTATAACAGATCACCCTCCATTGAAATTGAAATGCTTAAATTTAGAACTTAAACTAATTACAATCAGTTTTCAATGAACTTCCCAATGTAATGATATTTTTCCTCAAATGAAATGAATATAATGTTTGATGATGGTATGGAATAGCAGAATATAGTAACTGAGCCTTTAGAGATACCATGTTATAAAAAGCTAAAATTCTGAATAAAGTATATATATTTTTTAAATACTCTTGTTATTACCAAAAATTACTTATCAAAATAGCTGGTTATAAACAAATTTAAATATTATAATAGACAAGGTAACATTTTAGATAAACACTTTTTCTGAATTATTTATCTATGCCAACCATATCATTATGATACTAGATAACAATGTTGATTTAAAAGAGATATAGTTTTTTCCAAAACAATATCTTTATTAGCAATAGAACAGCAAGCATTATTTTATGTTGTAAAGGTTTTCTTTGCTAAACTATGTTAATAATTGCTTTAATTTTAGTGGAAGCAATACTTTCTGGTTGCTTCTAAAGCCTTTCCATCATCTCTCACTCACAGTAACCTCTTGCACCTTAGTGGCATTGTCACCATGCTTGGGATGGATAATAAAAAAAAAACAAAAAAACCCTCAAAACTTTCCTTTTCTTGAATTATAAGATAAACAGATGAATTAGACTATATCTTTTCCCAATTCAAAGGTATACAATGGAAAGCATATAATCGAAATTTTTAACACTGTTGCAAAATTGTTAGAGAGTTTTCAGCTGAAATCTTATTCACCCCAAGTACAAAGAGTGTTCAATCTGAATAATGCATTTTTAGAAGACTTCTGGTCCTATACTAACCAAAAATAATAGTATTATATAAATTAGAGAATCATGGTAGAAACTTTACCAGCATCTAACACAAAAGATGATACAAATAAACAAATCCAATGCGTTCATTCTACACTACTCATTCAAAATTTCTGAATGGCTAAATATCACTTGAGATTTAAGCAGGTGAAAAAAAGAGACCAAGATGGCAGCAGAAGTTGAAGTAGAAGTGAGAGCAAGAACGATAAAAAGATTTAGCAGCAAAGGTGATGGAATACAGGAAGGCAAGATGTCTGCTACTATTAACAGCAGACAGGAACCATTCAGTATCTTGCAATGCTAATAATGTACAAAAGATGCCAATAATATAAGCAATATCTTTTCATACATGATATCTGAAAGGTGCTCTACTGCTCACTGGACATGAAAAGATGATGGTTTTTAAAAATATCACCTTTTTGGAAATACTCCCAGAAGGTAAAAATATCCTAAGCAGAAGGTTGTGTTTTTTTTTTTTTGTTTTTTTTTTTTAAATAGAGATTGATAGATTTGTGGGAATTAATATATGAATGAAGTAAATGTAATGGATAGAAATTGAGAAAATGTTCCTTCAGTCACATTTAAAATTATGTCATTTAGCTGCTTCCATAAGAATAAACAGGAAATCCTCAGAAAAACAAGATAAGTTATGGCAGCAGACTGATATAGTTGTGATGAAAAGAAAAATTAAGATAAAAGAATACAAATCAAAAATTAAAGATGAGAGGAAAAAATCAATGAAAACCGACAATCAATAACAAATATTCTTTAGAATTGAGAAGGGAAAAAATTGCAATAATATATATATATATATATATATATATATAGAGAGAGAGAGAGAGATAGCAAGAGATTCAGTAATCCTTCATGCAAACAAGTTCTACTCAAGAGAATAGATATCTACAGAGCCTTTTGCCAAGTTTCCCCTGATGTTGAACAAGTCATTATTTCAGGTAGACACTTGTAAAAGAAATTACTGTAATTACAAGATAAGTATAATGGGATAATGCATATTAAATACAGAAAAATATAGGTTGGACA